TTTCAGCAAAGCAAAATGGGAAATCACTTTCAAATAGTGTATTCGACTCGCCTTTGCATTATCTATCGAATGGTGAAACAAAAAGTTTCATAGCTTTTAAGCCCGAAATCGAAAAAATTCGAGATACCGGTAGGAATTTTTGAGTTTTTTGCCTGTTTTACGCTCGTTCTTTTTATAATCTCGAATCCCCGAGATCGCTTTCAGATATTTTTCGTACCTATTCGACATGGGCTTTCAGGTCACACAAGATACAATTTGCCCCAACTCAATGCCTTCTAATTTAGCCTCTCTGCCAAAATCTATTCAACCCGTGAGTTATTGCACACGTATACCCTTCAAGGTGTCCTCTACAAACTGGCAAAGTTTGAGGATATGTTAAATGAAAAAAGACTTCTCGTTTGAATCCTGGGACTTGATTTCTTCCGGTTTTTGTCACAGCCTGGTTTTTTAAAAGTCTGGCCGGCAGGATTTTTAACGGAATTTCACATGGGCCTCACCTCACTTGAGTTTCTTGCAGCTACAGAAACCATTTTTTGCTTTGTTTTGACTATTACAATCGAGCGAAAAAAGTTAAAAGTAAATAATTCTTATAATTTTCAACAGGACTGTAGATGTGCTTACACTGGATAATAACATGGTTTGCGAGATTTTAAACCCTTATTTAGAGAATACTGAAAATTTATAGGAGATTTATATACAAATTAGTTTTTGTAAGTATTAGAATTGAGGAATAGCCTCTAATCTGAACGTTTGAAAGATGCAGATATCGTTGAAAGAACGCCAAATTCGATATTGCTATGCTAGTTTAAGCTTTGTTTGTGGTACCTTACCAATAAAATCGCCAAACTGTAATTTCTTGAAAACAGTGGCGCGTTAGTGAAATTATCTTCTGTTTATAAAGAAACTGTTTACAAAAATGTCGAATAAACCGCGAGAACTCGGATAAAATCAAAGTAAATAGAATGCTGGTTTTGCCATAGAATTAGAAAAAAGTAGAGAAAATTTGTTTTTGAGGTGGAACGGGAGTCTAGCAGAGAAATTTTTTGACGAGTTGTCAAAAAATCTGGTCTCTTCCACCTCTAGTTCGCAAATCATTTCGTTTCTGTACTCTGTTAGTTGGATCGGTTACTACCATTGTTGTTGATAGTGTGACTTTTTTCTTTTTTTGTCCAATTATTGTATTTTCTCGATACATGTAATCATCAGCACCATTGGTATTCACTTTTCTCAATTTTTGATTAGTTATAGAATTTTTAGTATCTAATATTCTTGAATACTGATGTGCTATATCTTGATGTAGATTAATTTTGTGTTTTGTTAATTGATGATACTTATTGAAGAGATTTGCTGTTTTCGATAGACAATGCAGACAAGTATACGTATTAGCACTCTGTGGCCGTTTACTGTTGTATGGTGAATAGAGAAGGAAATAAAAATTGATTGAAATTAATTTGGTCGAGTTATAATTAGTTCTCGGTGTTCGCGATCGATATTTACATTTACCCTGATAATTATTGTATCTATAAGAAACAGTCGTGCGTGTTTCAATTATAGCATTATTGTCTGCTTGAACCATTTGTAAATTGTTGCCGAGAAGATCTAACAACAGCCTGTGTAGTCTGTTATTATTTTGCTATTACGAATATCGCATATGTGAAGACTTACTTCATATTTGAATTTCGTCTAACGACAAATGTTTGTATGTTGAGTAAAAACAGCAACTCTTCTTCTTGCTGAATTTTAACAGAATCAGCAACTGTATTTATATACACTTTTATTTTCTCCTTAAGAAAAAAGATCATTTTATTTTTTGTTTTTAAAAACATACGAATTCAATTAAAATGAACAAAGAAAGATGTATAAAATAAAAAGTTAATAACGTAAATAGCTAAATTTCATAATGGAAACGGCGAGAATAAAAACACTTATTCAAAGAACTTCTACTTTATCTCTGTTCTGTCACCAAGAATTTGTTTTCTTTTATGAAAGAAAATTAATCTATGATTTGCGTTCATAAACAGTCGTTACTTGGACATTTTTTGGATCCCAATCGAACTTTATTTAACTCCAACAGCAAAAAAACAAGAAAGTAAATGAGCAGGCAAATCGATAATAAAATCATAATATGCCCGGATCTATTCGACAATAATAATACATTAATAAAACAGATAAGGGAGTAAAAAAAAGAGAGAGATGGTGATAAGTGAGATAGAGAAATTTGAGCAAGCAAAGAGCACTTCATCCATGCGGCACTGTATAAGAACAACAATACAGAAGACATCAAGTCAATCAAAGCGTTTAGTTGAACGAATATATTGAAGAATAGAATTAAAAATTGATAGTAGATCATCTCTATTCAATGCGCGGATAGAATAATGGTGAGTAAGGCGCCGGTAATTCGAAGTTGGAGGAAATTTTATTTTTGAGTTAAAAGCCCATCACTAGATGCAGTTTTATCTGGTGATCACGAATCTGACCTTGTTTCTTCATTTTGACCGATTTTTCCGAGAAAACAACGCAAAATACTGCTAACTCCTCAGAAACCTTAGGTTTCAGAAAACTGCGTTTTTCTCCTCACCATTTCACTTTTCGATCTCACCAATGCGATTTTCCGATTCCGCATGTAAAAATGGATCTGTTCATGTAGTCTAGACCCTGATTGCATATAACGTATCCGTTCTGAAAACCCATAAGACTGAATTACTCCGTTGACGCTACCGAATTTTGCAAATCTGTCTAGTTTTTTCGGTCAAGACATAGCGTCTTCATTCTTACGCCATTTCGCGCACAACAAACTAATCTTCCGTTTTTGTTAATATTACTTCCTTGTGCTGAGAAAACCAGTTTTTCAAAAATAACCAAAACCTTCGTTTGATGCGACATGATTGAAGCCCGTTCAACCAATACAACCACCCCCATGGTTGTTTATCTCTTTGCAAAATACATAGTAATTATTTATTGTAAGCACATCGTCAGAATTCGTGGAATCTAACCACGGGCACAGTGTGCATTTTTCCATAGGCCAGGCGAACATTTCTTATAGAAGCAGTCCGAAAGCCTGCAAACATGTTTTTTATAGGTTCTCACATATGCTGTTTCTAATGGTGTGTTTTACAAAGTTCAAAGTGACTTTCATCTGAGTTCTCCGGAGGCCGGGTCCCCAGAAAACTCACATGTAAGTATTCTGTAACTTTATAAGACGCAGCATTGGAAAGAGCATATCTGGAAACGTATAAAAAAAGTGTTTGCAGGCTTTCGGATTGCTTCTATAGAAAATATCAAAATCCTTAGCCGAAATTGTTAAGCTGTGCTTCAAATTTAGCGTTTCGTTAGATCCAACTAGTTTTGCTGCTTTAAAAACCTATTAATCACACATCATTTGATGCAGTTTCTTGCGGTGATTCTGAATATGTCATTTTTATTAAATGAAAACATTTCAGTATCGAGATAAATTGAAAACAGCCGAAAACCCCATGGTTTTCTGAGAAACCTGTCATTCGGTCCAGGAGCATTTATGCATGTTTATGCAATCACCATACATGGAGCACACCTAGATGAACATTCTGTAAAAGTTTCAACAACCTGCGACTTGAGAGCGGACTGTTCCCCACTCAGTTCTTCCTATCAGTTTATAGAGGACACTTTGAAGTATATATTTCAATACTTTTTTCGGGTACCGGACCTGTAGTAAGCCGAGAAAACTTCAGGACATATACCTCGAAGTATCCTCCACAAACTGGGAACGTTGGGCGAAAATCTAAATGGGGACCCCCTCTCCTTAAACTGTAGACTGTTGATGATACAAAACAAAAGATCATATTTTGCTGGGTTTAGGGCTCATTTTCTTAGTCATTCTTGATTTTCTTCACCATCTGAGCTTATTTTCTGTCTCAATTTCCTAAAACTTAATGGTCTAAGCTTAAATATGTTTGGTCTTTGGTTTCTAACGAGAATTTTAGAAAAAATACCTTTTTTCAAATTCTGGTCTTAAGTTTTAATTATAAAAACCTTCTTAAAAATGAAAAGTAATTTTTTTCGAGCGTGAGAAAGTCATATCGAGGTCTCATACGTTCCATTTTCGTAAGCGGTTGACCCAAAATCAAGCATTAAAGCCCTGTGGACAACGAAAAATGATCAATAGCTACTGTTTCGGAGATCATACATGATTGTGAAATACATGGTTTTTGATATCCTCTTCTAACGGAACAAACAGTTTTTTTACTATTTATAATGATTAATCAAACTCACGGTACAGTCATTTTTGCTTGAACATAGGATACACGATAGATCAGCGCTCTACAATTATTATAATCTATTGTGATAAAAAGAAAAAAGAATGATAACAACAAGAATAAACTGTATATATACAAAAGTAAATAGAAAAAGTGAACACCAGTGCTAAGCCTAATATGTTCTTTTTATCGAATAGAAGAAAGAGAGCAACAAGCGATAAAAACATGTGTAAATAGAAGTAAAAGTTGAGTATTCATGTTGCTGGTATTGCAGAGGTAGCTGTTGCCACTGGCAGAGTTGATTGTTGTTTTAGGGTTGAGTCAGGCGCTAATGTACGAATAAGACTGGCAGCCATTTCAAAAAATTGCATAACTTCAGAAACAGCGTTCATGGAAGGTGGCGAAGCTAATATACCATGTTCGATAAATAATGAATCATTATTTGAATGTTGATCATTATCATTGATTGTGGTTGAAACCGGTGCGAATGAAAAATATTTTTCAGATTCACCATTTTCACTTTCAAAATCCCACTGAATATTATGATGTGTAAGTGATTTATCATTTGCTTGATCAATCAGAGCTTAAAACAAATTACAAGTGGATTAATATATTGTAACTACTATTAATTTCCAAATAAAAGAGTGAATACACTTCAAATACCGTAGGATAGAAGATAAAGAGATAAAGACTACCAGTTTTTGACATTTTCTAACTAAGTCAGAGGCACGCTCAGGAATTCGATAAATGATTGGTGAAGCTGCTCTTAAAAGCCATTTCACGGTTGAGACAACCGTTTCTCGCATAAGCTGCTCAATCAATGAGTTTTTTATTCATATTTGCACAGTAGGTAGCAGCGACACTCATAGGAAGATTTCCAAAAGTTTTTCACCAGAACTTCCTTCCTTCAAAATTTCTGGGAATTTTTCGTAAAAGTTCTAAAAAACAAATTTTGCTAGGAATCGTTGTAATAAACCAACAAAACTAAAGGTGAATATGCCACAAATCCAAAATCACAGTTTGACAGGCGATATGAGTACTGACCATTGGTCTATGAACACCAAAATCTTCAGAAGTATCGGACGGCAAAACCGATCTTCAAAATAGACCATTTTTCATATTCTATCCTCTTTTGAACTCATCTGTACAACAACTAAGGGGCTTGTACGAAATGAATTCATAGTAGAGATACACTTATACAATAAATATAAGTAATATTAAATGTAATAACATATTTTTCAGATAAATAATTATGCAAAAGTCTTCACGCTAATAAAATTCTTCCTTGTTGTGCGTATACGTTCGCACATGTACGACAGTTATTTTTTCACATGTTCTTGGCCATAGATAGTACTCAATTTCGACTACTTATGCTCCAAATGTGGTCTCTTGATCTACTTCCTAGACCAAGATATAAACAAAAGAAATTTCACTTTTATGTAGTTATTGTTTCAGGTAAGTTCCGGTGAAAAAGCTTTTTGAAAATCTTCCTAAGTATGTCGCGGCTATGAACAGTTGTTCATACTGTGCAAGTATGAACAAAAAAACTGAGGTATTGACTGAGCAACTTAGGTCATCCCTAACGTGCAATGGCTCTTAAATTCTATGGCAGACAACGCGAAGAAGAAAAGAGAGAGAGAGAGAACAGTGAAGTTCTGAGTGTTTAAAAATGTTAAATAGAGAATTTAACTGTGTAAAAATTTGTAATTATTCGGTGATGGCTAATAATGACCGGCAGCTGCATGTCGTTAATCGCAGGTCTTTATCTCTCTTCTATCCAACGTTATTCAAAACATATTCAATTCGCTTCCACTGTGAAATAGTTAGTTATTCCGCTGGAAATTTAATCTATATACACTATTTAAGGTACTTACTATGGTTAACTTGGTCATTAACATTTAAATTTCTAAAATCTAATAAATAACTACGATTATCAACTTGATATAATTGAATACCTAATTTTACCTTAAAAAATAGACATAAGACTAGATTTATATTAATATACAACAGTCTACTTACATATCGATCGCTATGTACTGCTTTTCGTCGAGCACGTAAACTGTACATACTATTATTCGAATATTTCCATTCCTTGAACATAAGTTTAATAGATAAAATGGTACTACATCTACATTAATTTAGCAAATGCACAGAACGCTATTTTTAAAAATGTGCATGTCGATAATTTCGTTGTGAGTTTTGTATAGTGCTGGCTACATACAACTCCGCATCAATCAGATACAATCAATGAGTGTAGATTGTTTTAAATGAAAATTATTGTTAATTTAGACTCGGAATATCATCATTTTGATAAGCGGTTAATAACGACATTTGTTCTTCCTTAGTACAGCAATATGTTTTTCTCAAAACGACAGACAGATATGTAATAATATATTTAAAAGTACAAACATCATTACTTCATACCATTCCCAAATTTTTCATGGCTTTAAACACTTCATTCATAATATCATGTGGTTTACTTTGTGAACGAATACCCAGATGCCATTCAGTCTTTTTTAATGCTGAACTTTTTGATGTTTTACTATTCCCAATTTGATCTAATGTGACATTCATATCTTTTAATACTACAAAAAAAAATAAATAATAACAATTCATATGCACATATAACGGTTGATGCAACTGATTTTAATTTTATTGTGAATTTTTAACCTTTACGATCATCATGAAACAAGAACTGGACTACAAAAAACTTTACATTAACTATTCGTTAAGACGCGCTAGATATTCAAGATACAAAGGAAGAAAGAAAAGAAGCAAAAGAATTTACTTTTTCCTCGTTTCTTATGAATAAGAAAGATATTGAGTAATAATTCTTTGGTTTTTTTAATATTGAAAGTATTACTAACCAGGCATTTTTTCTGAATGTGATCGAACTGTGGATGATTTCTAATAATGAGAAATGATGTATTATAGTTTCAAATAAAAAACTATTGACAAACAGCAAGGAACATTATGTGACAATGAGAAAAACGATATGAAGGAGAGAGACGTACATCATTTATTAGATATTAGAGTATTTACATGAGCATGTGTATGTCTGTGTATCAATTTAATTTTTATCAAATAAAACATACATTTTACGATTAACACTACATTCATTTCACACTAATCGACTGACTGACACAATTTTACTTACGAAATGCGATGACAAACGTGTTGTAGAAGGCTATACAGTCAAACAGAGAGAGAGACATATAAAATAAGTCAACAAATGGCGTGATAATCTATAATGTTCATTCTAATTAAGATGAAATGAGTTTTTATAGAATATCTTTCAGGTTTTATGTCATATGTAGAATTGTGAAAATGAACTCTCGTCATTGTTAAAACTTTTCAACTCAAAATAGTGTAAAAATATGACACAAACATTATATAACGCACAAAAATTCATTAAACGTTTTATAGAGTGATAATAACATTGTCACACATTATCGCTCTATAAAACGTTTAATCAGTGAATTTTTGTTTAAGGTGAAAAATTTTATAATAGAAATTAAGAATAAAATCACCTTTTTCGTGTTAAAATGATTAATTTCAAAATGAAGACGTTCCGTCTTTATTCTAAAGACATCAGCAGTGAGACTGATATGCAATAAGTGAATTCTAACATAGAAAAAGAAAAATAACACGTGTGTAGATGACTACAATAAATACATACGAAAAAATTCTAAGTCGTGTTTTAGTCAAGATAATATACAATGATGAGCTACAATGACTATTCATGGTATTTTCTTAAAGAAAAATATGTAACATTTTGTCTCCGATTTCAGTGAAACTTTACCAATATCTAGCCGTACCCCAGTTGGAATTAATGCTAAACTTTTTCCCTTAACGGTTTTTTCCTTCCTAAAATATCAGATAATTAGTACGAGATCAATTTTTTCCTTTTTCGATACTTTTGGATTTCTGTGTATATATATATAGCCCGTTATAATACAGATATCTAATGAAAATATTTAAAATAAAATGATGGTAGTTTATGGCTCCCGGTGACGTATAAATACGTCTAGTTGCAATTATTGCATAATCATAATAGCTAGAATAAATTTGAAAAAAGATTTGAATAGCTAGAAGAATTTCTGATCTCAGGTGGTGTATACAAAGGCTCCATCAAAACTCCTGAAATCAGGATCTCTGGAAAACTCAAATCTCAGAAAACCAAGTCCCAGAGTTCAATCCAGAAATTCTTTGCAAATAAGTCTGTCGTG